GGCCTCACCAGGATGCGGTCGCTGTCTATGATGGTGTTGAGGCGGTGAGCGATGGTGAGCACCGTGCAGTCTCTGAACTTTTCCCGTATGGTTTTCTGGATCAGCTCATCTGTCCTGCAGCAGCCACAGTTAAACCCTCCTGAGCACCTGAGCGTGGTCTCACATTCCCTGCTTGTTTTTTCCTGTCTGGAGTACCTGGGGTCCACGTTGGCGGTGGCCTCGTCGATGATGAGGATGCGGTTCTTCCTCAGGACGGCTCTGGCCAGACACACCAGCTGCCTCTGGCCCACGCTGAAGTTGGAGCCGGACTCGGCCAGAACCGTCTCCAGCTTCCCGGGCAGCTCCTCCACCACGGGCTTCAGCTGCACCTGCAGGAGGAGGCGTGGAGCAGAGCTGTTAGTGTCTGTGTGCAGCAGCAGCGGGGAGCAAAACTCTGCTGTGAGGGCTGATACGAGCCTCTTCCAGGGCTTTCCACAGCTCTTCATCAGCGTGCTGGTTGAAAGGGTCCAGGTTCTTCCTCACGGTGTCGGTAAACAAAACTGGATCCTGGAGGGTGAATGGAGAGAAAAAACAAAGAATGGAGAGATTCACATTCAGCACAACCACAAGTTGGATTTTGAATACTTAAAAAATTTGAGTAAACCATGTCAAGAAGAATAACTCCTACCAGATGTATTGACAGAACAAGTTTAATTAAAAACTTTGCTGTTTAATAAAATAAAAAAACAGCAACCTCTAGTCCTCCATCTCAGCCTTTATAGTGAATTGTTTTGTTAAGTTGTCTCCTTAGCGTACCTGAGGAATGATGGACATCTTCTGCCGCAGGTCGTGGAGGCCGATCTCAGAGGTCAAAAGGCCGTCGATGTAGATCTCCCCCTGAGGCTCGGCCAGGCGGAACAGGGCCGAGATCAGGGAGCTCTTCCCGGCGCCGGTCCTTCCCACCACGCCAACCTGACACACACAGGTCAGGAAAACGGGTCTGTGACTGACCATCACACACAGACAAAGACATTAACTATCAGTGCCAAAATCACCTTCTCGCTGGGTTGGAATATAGCGTTGATGTCTTTGAGGACCAGCGGGCCGTCTGTGTGGTAGGAGAAGTTCACTCGATTAAAGACCACCCTCCCACAGCTTGGCCAGTCAGGGGAAGGGCGACTCTGAGTTTCCAATAGTCCTTCTTTCTCAAGGTTTGTGTACTCCAGCACCCTCTCCACTGATGTCATCTGAAAATACAAGACAATCTTCTGCTGTTTGCAAATGCGAATGCTATTTTCCCAAAACAAAAAAGTTTTCTTTCCCTTTTTTTCCCCACCCCATATCAAAATGTTTGCTTACAGAGGTGTTTATTCAGCACAGCTTCACACAAGTCCACTCCTTACCATGTTCTCCACCTCAGCGCTCTGTCTCACTGTCCACTGGAAGTTCCCTACCAGGGTCACGGCGTAGGTCAGCACCAGCCCCACCTCTCCAGCCGCCAGGCCTAATTAAAGACAACGATTTAACAATTAGAAAGAACTTCAGAATAGCTGAAAGGCCCTCTCAGTCGGCGTTGCCTTGATGTTCTCAGTGATTTCAGAGTAAAGAACTTTCTGTGGGTGCCATTTGTATCAGGGTTCATGGGTCTGTTTTAGATAAGGCACGAGTTCAAACAGCTAATTAAATCATACAGGATCCAATTCCTAGCCCTGCTAAAGGCTTTTTACCCTTTGTGTGGCTGCAGAAGCCTTCTTCTGCACACTTAGCTCCTCACCGTCTCTGAATATGATGCAGCCAAACGCAGCAAAGGTGACAAACACAGAGCAGATGCTGTCAAGGCGGAGCGCGAACCAGCGGGAAGTCATCAGGAACAGAAACCAGGCCTCTGGAATACAGAGAGATAAGCCCTCAACACCAAAGAATTTGTTTTTAAAAAACTTAACATTCTCATCACAAAGGAGCTAACTGTAAACCTGAGTGCAGGTCCTGGTGGGCGTCGAAGGCCTTCTTCAGTCTCTCCTCAGCTCCGAAGGCCCGGATGGTCCACAGACCCTGAAGAGACGAAGACAGGTGGGAGAAGACCGGACTCCGAGCTGTGAGGAAGGGAAACGAATGAGCGGGGAAGTCGGAAGTCTTTCAGAACACCACACCGGTCTGGGATCCTACTTGTGGACTCGAGGCGTTTGACGTCTCGAGACGTGTGGAGGTAGTAGCGTCTCAGGTAGAGAAAGAACAGCAGCAGGGGGACGACGGCCACCAGGATGAGAGGGATGACTGAAGCCGCCACGGCGACCACGCCCACGTTCTGTAAAAACAACTGAGGGAGGCCAGATACACTGAGCAGGTCTGAAACTTAAAAAAAAGGAGCCGCTTCAATCTGAACCCCACAAGCTCTCACTTGATAAAAGTCCACGAAGGTCATGGGGAGCATGGAGTCCATCTGGCCGATGTCTTTGGAAAACCTGTTGAGGATTCTTCCTGTGAGGAGGGACAAAAAGGAGCCTGGCGTTGGCCAACAGCTGCAGACCCTAGAGACCTCTCCTGGGCGGGGCTCACCTATGGGGTTGACGTCGAAGAAGCGCACGTGCGTGCGCAGGACGGCGCTGAACATGTCGTTGTGCAGCGTCTGCGCCGATTTCACCAGGCCGCGGAATATCGCCAGACTCCTGATGAAGCCGAAGACCACGGCGGCCGCCGTCAGACCTGCAGGGGAGAGTTTAACCCAGCGTTTGTACCAGCGACACAGAGGAGCCTGTGGCTGAGGAGAGAGGCTGACACGCACCTGAATAAACGCCCAGGTAGAAGGTGAGATTAAACTCCCCGTGGGAGCGGGTCACATTCATTCCCTGATAAGCAGCAACAGTGCTGTTGGAAAACTCCTGATTTGTCCTGTTGACGGAAAAAGAAAAACAACAAAATGGAATAGGATCGTACAGAAAAGAAGAGGACTCAGCAATACTAGATTCAGTTACTAGATTCAATTGATACCAAATTTCTTACCAGTACACCAACCACCAGTCCTGCAGGATATATGCAGCCTGTGGAAAGGAAAAGGAAAAAAAAAGATTTTTGATTAAAACCATGTCCTTTCAATTTCAACTTAACTCTACAAATAAGACCTTTTGGCTTTAAAGATCTTGGAAATTCCTAAATGGCAAATCCCAGGCAAACTACAGTGGCTGTATTAATCTCTATCCATGTTATGATAATTACCTTAAACTTTTGTACACTCCTTACCTCTGCTATGACACAGAGCAGGACTACTGCTATTAAAACGACAGGATGACAACTTGCTGAGAAGTATTTCACATAAACTTGGCGGCCAACATTCCCCTCGGCCCGCGTCTCCTCTGCAGCGCTGCAGACATTCTCGACCTGTGAAACAAGTGGCTCAGTCATTTACCTGATTAACTTTACACAGAATCAACAGTAGAGGCTGTGTAAATAGAAAGAATCATGAACAAATGTACAATATGAACATACATCCCCAATGCTAAAAGCGTTACTTAGTTGAGAAAGTGAGTACACCTCTATGGGTTTGTTTGGTTTTGGACCTTTGTACTGTTAAAGGATCTACGATATATTAATTGCCTTAAGGATATTACACTCCAACTGCCCCAATCTCTGCCCCCCTCGACCCAAACTGCTTTCATTTTAAAATTACAGCTGTCCATATTGTCCAAAAACAGTTTCACTATTCAGGGCAAATATGTCATTTCTTTTTCAGTGGGAGATGTCCATTCTGCAAAGGTGCATACAGAAAACTGCTCTGCATTGCTGTTGTCTGTTGGCAGGAGTTTGTTGAGAGAACAGCGTGAACTGTGGGAATAATTAGTCCTCTGGCTGCGTAAAGACACTTGGTCTAAGTCATCTGAACAGGACCACTGGTCCTGGTCCTCACTGCTCAGGAGAGTGGCCACATCAAGGCCAGAGCTCTGCAGCTCACTGTATGTTCCCTGGCCAATGATGTGACCCTGGAAGGGAAAAGTAAAAAGCAAAATGGTGTCAAGAATGACCAAAATTCTAAAAATGTATTTTTCTTGTCTGCAAAATTCTGTCTTGTAGAGAAAAAAAAAAGTTGTTTATAACAGTATTTGGGCTCGAAAATTTAAAGCAGCAGCTTTATATAAAATTTCTCAGGGTACAAACCTCCCTGAGCACCAGAATGTTGTCAGCTGCCCTCAGGTACTGCAGCTGGTGTGTGACCAGGATGCAACACTTGTTCTTTAGCAGGCCGCAGATGCACCTGATTGTTGACACAGACACACCACATCAGCACCGCACACTCTTTGACATTTGTGAAGAATTGTCTATCTCCTGTGTACGAAACATTTATAAAAACAGACCAGTGCTTTAAGCACAAATAAATGAGCCAACAAGCAAATAATGGAGTTGGATGCATTTTGACAGAAGAGGTCATCAGTTACTGTTCAAATAGATATCTTCCAACTTCTGCATCAACTGCACTCAAAGGATCATCCAAGAGATATACGTCTGCATCCTCATACACGGCCCTGTAGGGAAAAAAACAAAAAAAACAGCCACGTATAGGTGGCAAAGCCAGGAAAAACGTTTTGTCTATAATGTGTCAAGAGAAGAGGTCTTTAACTCTAGAATCCTGACTTCCACGAAAAAATTGGTCGGAATTATTCTCCCACCTGAGAGCTGTACAGCTGGGACTGTTTTCATACCTTGCCAGGCTGATGCGAGCTTTCTGACCCCCGCTCAGTGTAGATCCTCTGTCCCCAATAAGTGTCAGATCTCCATTTTTGAGCACTTCTAAGTCCTAGATTGAGAAAGAAACCAACTTTATGCTTTTTAGTGAAAATACTAAATAGATGTTAGAATAAACAAATGGATTGTGACAGTGCTCTTTGTAAGATGGAAAAAAACCAACAACAAAGTAGAGGCAGTCTGCGAAAAGGCAGTCCCTGTAATTGCTTGTATTCTAAATTGGATTTATAAGATGCAGAGAACATTTAAAACAGTGACAAACTAACTCAGAGCTCTGTGGAAGCTTGATGTGTTGGTGACAAACCATGAGTCAAACAGTCATATTTACTGGTCAGATGGATCTGGCATTTAGATTCTGGCTCTTCATGACAAAAGTTCACTTTCAATCCCGTTTTAAAGCACAAAATCGCTTTAAAGTCTTGTCTTGTTTATTAAGAAATGCATTCGGTAAAAAAAAAAAAAAACAAGTTTTTAAAAAGGCATCTAGTCATCGTCTTCTATAACTAGAAAATAAGTTTTCTAAAACTATAGCTACTTCCCTGTTACAGCTGTATATAAATTAATATCACCCAAATTCTGTGCATCAATAACAGACTATCGTGCTGTTTAGATCACAGGAATAGGGGCCGGGGACAGACACTGGTTGGTGGTCAGCAGGTGCAGACCGGCTGACCCGCCTCCAGTTTGGACGGTCCAGGTCGGGGCAGCGGTGTCCATCTCACCCTCTTCAGAGCGCAGGCCCGCAGGACTCTCACGTACTGCTTGGTCTTCAGTTCCCTCCCAAACAAGATGTTGCTGCGAATGGTGCCGGGGAACACCCAGGGCTGCTGGGACGCGTAGGTCAGCCGACCTTTGACCCTCAGCTGCCCTGCATAATGAGGCAGCTCCCCCAGGATGGCGCTCAGCAGGGACGACTGGTGGGAACAAAGAGCGTGGTTGGACGGCTGATCCAGCACCACTGTCTAAACCTGTTCAATTCCACTAATGCGCCGACCTTTCCAGCCCCAACGGGTCCAATTACAGCCAGGAGTCCAGGGGATTTGGCTGTGACCGTGATATCCTCCAGAGACGGGGAGTCCAAAATCTGGAACAATGACAATCGTGGAGGATTAGCAGGTTCAGTCCCAGATTTAGAAGAAGTGAACTCATTCAATTCACCTTATCCCAGTAGCACGTCAGTTTTTCCATCTCTACAGAGTTTTCTCTCCTTTCCTCCAGGGGCAGAACAAAGCCTTTGACATCCACTTCATCCAGAAGGAGGAAATTCTGGGGAATCAAAAATCAAAGCACAGCTTTCAATGTCATGGTTACTCAAAAGTCCAGTCGAATTGCATTTGTGACGAAGCGGAGATTTAACAGCTTTCAGATAGCCGTTTGAATGTCCTCCCGGTCACAGAGAGCCTCACCTTAATCCTGCGGACGCTCACCACAGTCTCCGACAGCTTCTCGATGGCCAGAGGGAAAAACAAGGTGACCGTGAGCTTGATGGTCCCGTAGAGGGACACGGTGACAAACACACTGCTGGCGGTGATCGAGTTGCCCAGGAGGACGTGGACAGTGAAAGTCACGAAGACGGTGATCTTGCTGCTGGCGAAGAAGGACGCCATGTTGAGCCCCCGTAGGTAGGAGCTCTTTAGGATCTGACCGATTTCTTTCCTGTGAAACCAAAATGAAATAAACAAGTCAATGAAAAAAGATAAAGAAATGGAAATGACATGAACACATATTGCTGGGAAACACCTGCTGTAACAATGCCTCAAGGCTCTGAATGGTTTTTCTACTGAATCATGGAGCAATTTTCCACCATGGTCAATGCATGGAAAAGAAAACATTCTTTCTCCGTTTTTTCATTGAAGAACATTGGGAAGTAAAATTGTATTTCATAGCTAGACGTGAGGAGGATTTTTCTTTATCTTTTTCTTCCATAGCTTAACATTCCTGAGAGTCCAGTGGCCTTTAACTCTTACCACATGTTACTACCATCCAGTTGCTCTCGGGAAACTGGGGACAGAATTCAGCACTCAAGATGAATCCAGAAGATAAAGAGCAGCTATGAAGCCCTAAACTCCACCACTCAGAAAGGCTTTCCTCTTTTTTTCTAGACAGAATCCCTTAATTCAGTGGAGTTCATACAGGCTTTTATATATATTGGAACATTTAAGTTTTCAAAAAATCTGCCAAAAAACACGCAGTTTAAGCTGATTTAAGACACTAAATCGGCCGCCTCAACCACTAAAAGCATAGTTTGTGTTAAGTTTCTGTCGATAATGACAAAGCATGTGGAGAGGAATGTAGGACTTTCACACTCTTGGAGCTCTTCTCTGTCATTATGATTGTGTGGATCTGCACACAGTTCTCACACATGGGTTTCATTCCTAGGCAGCTACTTTTCAAATCACCAACTGGTTGCAGAAGCACGCAAAGAGTCCTGTAAATGCAGCTTCCTTGTTCCGGGTTGGTAATGGGTGCGAAGATTTTATGGGCCAAGACGACGTTAAAGAGGACTTCTGCACGCTGGAGGAGCTTGCCGGGTTTCGTCGGCCCTCGTCCCGCCCCGATAAGCTGAGTCTCAAAGGTCTGGCTCCAGATCTCCATTAGATCTGGCATCCGCAGCGTGCGGGAAGGTGTGGCTCATCGGAAATATGCCAAAAAAACATTTTAGAGGTAAACGATCCCTGGGGCCAGGGGTTTTTTGTCCTCCCTGGCTCTTTGGCCAGCAGCTGATTCAGAATGTGCTGGTGGTGCGGGACCTCTCCATCAGCTCCGGTGGCTGATCCCGTCCACGCCTTTTCACGGCGCCGCCGTTCACGGTTCAGCGGGTCAAGACAAGCGCCGCCGAACCTCATTCTACTGTCATAACGTCGCCCCGGGAAATGAGAGGAAAAGCACAGCAGCTCTGACAGCATGCGGCTCTGACAGGAAAATGAGACTCTCTTTTGCCTCATCTAACAAGGGAAAAACAGATTCCCAAAACACCTAAAGCGCCTCCAGATTATTGCCGGTCCACTGACTTGCCCCCATAATTCCTACTTTAGGCGTCAGCTGCTATTTGCCAAATTTGAGCTCCTATGACTCCGATGGCCCACTGCATTTGGTTGGTGGATTGTTGCAGGGAAAATGAACAGAGATCTCAACGGAATCAAAAGTTTAGTTTCCTACCGTCGCACTTCATTGACCATGGCTGAAAGCGGCTTCTCCCACGCGTACATCTTGATGATCCTGATGCCAGACACCACCTCGTTCATGATGCGGATTCTGCTGTCACTGAGGACGGCAGTTTTGCTCCTGTAACAAGAAGAAAGGCTGCCGTTCGGTTCCGAAATTTTTTATTTGACAAGTTTTCTGGTATCATTCAGCCTCTGTTACGAGCTGTTACTGTTGTTTTCCATTTGGACGGATAAAAAGAAAAGGAGAAAAAAACTAAACAAAGTATTGATTTGACTTTTTCCAGGTACAAAACTTCTTCTATTGTTCTTGACTCCTATTTCAGACTGTCGTGTCAATATTTAGGCTGAACTAGCTGACCCTCAATCCTGTCCCCAAATTAGAGGACCCTCGAGTCTTACAATGTGCATTTAAATGTAGGCTCCTTTTCACCTATAAAAACTGACTCTACCTAACAGGTTATACCGTAGACATAATGATATTTCATAACTCTGGGAACACCTTGTGGTTACAATTATTTCGAAATCTTACGTAATCATATTAGTAATAATGACAACAGTTTCAGATTGAAACAACCTGAATACCAACTATCAAAACAAATTTAAACATTTGCAAATGCAACCGTTATAATGCAAGTTCATTCATGTTTTTACAGATGGTTGTTTTTTTTCTTCCTGATGGCCATTTATCCAAGATTTCATTCTGACTCATTTTTCTTTCCCGTTACATCCACAAGGCCGAGATTCTAAGTTAGTCGCTCCGACTCGGCGTTTCTCAACCCTGGTCCTCAGATTCCACGGTACTGGGTGTGTTCCGCCTTTCCCGGCTCCAGCAGCACATCGGATTCAAACGAAGGGGTTGGCTGTTCAGAAGGATGACTGTGGCTCCCCGAGGATCAGGGTTAAAAAAACACTGCTCTGACTCAGTCCCCAGGCGGTCCGAGTCTTCAGAGTCAATTTTCTGGAAGGTACGTCCTAAAAACCCCACTCGGAATATAACGCATCTTCAATTCCCCCCCCCCCGTTCTTGGTGTCCCGCTGTTGTTTATGCATCAAGAAAGCGGCAACTATCCTCGTTCATTACCTGAAGATGCCAAAGAGTTTCCCAAACCAGGTCTGCAGAGGCATCATCAGAGCGATGGCCGCCACCCCGGCCAGACACGTTGAGCCAATCTCTTGCCAGAGGAAGACGATGATCACAGCGGCCTGCAGAGGCCCCACCCACAGGTAGTGCAGATTCAGCGTAATCTGGAGAGATTTGAAACCACGCTCACACCTGCCAGCTAGCACAAGAACAGCCGTTAAGACGGACTCAAGCAGAATCAAACGGAACCGCACGGTTCTGCTTCCGCACCTCGTCGAAACGATTGACGTCGTTGGAGAGGAGGTTCACGATTTGTCCGGTGGTTGTTCGGCCCATGGATTCGGTGCTGAGACGAAGAGCCTGATGAGAGAAGTGTCCCTCTTATCGTCCATCTGTCTGCTCCCAAACGTTACACAACTCTGCGACCTGCTTTAAAATCCCCAACCCTCACTGACCTTTCTGTAGATCATGTGACACACGGCCACCCTGACCTTCATGCCAATTCTCTGGACGTGATAGTAATAGAGATGCTGGAGCATGGTCAGCCCAAAGGTGGAGATGGACATGGCCGCGGCGTAAACGTACACCATGTGAAGGCTTCTCTGATCGTCTGGGCGGGAACTCTCAAAGTACTGGATTATTTTTCCCAGGAGCAGCGGCTGGATCACCTTAATGGCTTCCTTCATGACAAAGACAAGAGCTTCTTAATGACAAATATGCACCTGATCTCTGATCCATCCATTAGCAGAAATGGTACACATGCTAAGAAAAAAGTGTTTCCTAAATAAAACCTGCAAACATATATTGATAGATCTCCTTTATTCCAAATAAGGGATGACAACTTAAAGACGGGAAACTTTTGTCAGAACTCACCAGTGAAAATGCAAACAGCCCGGCCACCGCGTAGGACTTGCCAAAGCACTTAAGGAGAACTCGGGTGAGTTTTGGTTTCTTAAGTTTCTTCGATTTCCTTTTGACTTCATGCTCCCAAAGTCTAGAGGGAGAAAAGAACATTGAACCTGCTGTGACGCTGGCTCCTGATGCTCCAGGTCTTGCTGCTCTACCGCGGCCCCCTTCAATTTTAATTCCACAGGCCAAACGCTTATTTGCATCGGAAATAAAACAGCGACGGCTTAAACCGAGGTGGAAAAAGACATTCGGCATCTGGTGGGTTTTTTTTATCTTGAGGCGACAAATTTGGCCTATGTTCTGTGAGCCCTAAAGCAAACAGAGTCCACCGATATCAAAAGGCCTGGATCAGCACGTGACCGGCCTCGCTTGGTAGGGATAGACAATGGGAGAAAGGAGGCCAACGGGAGGTATGCACGCAATAGGATCCCATGTGGAGAGGAAGGAAAGGAATGGCTGGCCTCTGGCCAAGGGAACCCTATGCAGGTTTAATTGGTTGAACAAGTTGTACTAACAGTTTCTCTAAGGAACCTTCTCCTCCTCCTCAACCCCCGTTCCCTCAGACTGCGCATCATCCACGCCGTGCACCCTCAAAATAGCTTTGACCAGCCACTCCAAAGTCCCACTGCGCCAGCACCATTTAAAGACTGGAGCCCAACCAGGTGCACCTCTCGCTCAGTACCTCTGTAGCTCCTCTCCCAGCGCCTCCGAGCCATCCTCTGGAAGAACGCTGTACATGTGGCTTTCATCCAGCCTCTGTTTGTGGCCGAGGTGCATCAGCGGGGTTAACCAGCTGAAAAGGAGAGGCGCTTTCAGGATCAGCCAGTGTGAGCAAGGCCCCTCAGTCAGAGGCATGATACAGCTAAACATGTGATGTGTTGCCTTTTGAACTCCGCTCTACCACCACATGCACTGCCACTCATTACCGTGCACAAAGAAGGGCCAGCAGATAAAGAAAAGACGGCCCCTTCCACTTTCGAGATTTGTAAATGAATGAACACATTTCACAAGGAAAAGAAAAAAAAAAGCTTGATGGTTAACTTGTGGAAGTTCCCAAAATTGTCAATGAAAAAAATTATATAAATAAATCTTTACATGCAAAATTTATATATTTGGTGTGCATGTGTGCACACACACACAACATGGAGAGGGAGCACCAATGTATACTTTTATAACAACTCATTTCTATTCCTGGTTAAGTTGGTTTTAAACATGTAAAGATAATATTTGTCAAAAAGAAGCACCGTTTGAGTACGAGATGAAGATCTTGCTGCAGAAACCGCAGCAACATCACATGCGCGATTTGCAAATTCAGCCTCTTCCCCCACTGTCAGTGTCAAAAAGAGTTAGTTGTTTAAATATTTTATTTGTGGGCGAAATTGAGTTCGCTTGAGTTCGGGGGAAGAGAAACGTAATAGTCTGATGGACGCAGGTTCCAGGACGCATTCCCAAAGGTCAGTTCCGTTTTTACAGCGCTGAGACTCAATGAACCAAATACAGCAGATTTATGGATGAACTTAAAGACACAGATTTAAATAAATGCCATCTTTTTCTAAGAACCAAAACACACCCCAGAACATTTGAAAACTAATAATTTTATAAATGAATAAATAAGTTGCATCTGTGCTTTTGCACTCATGCAAAGGCTTTACGCGCGAACGCCAAAACCTTCGTTTTCAGATTTAATCAAGAACAATTAATCTATTAATCGGTTTTATACTCACCACAGAAACAGCCTGGACAAACAGCCGGCTTCGGCCAGTGGATTGAGCTTTCTTCCTGCCCCGGCATTCTCCAGGCTCCCCATAGCGGCTCCACGGCTCCGGACACTCCTGCCGGTCTGCGTCCGCACAGCCTGCGGGGGACGCACGCCGTGCACGCGACCTTAAATCCGCCGCCTGAGCAGTCGGCTGACGTCACGCAGAGCGGACAACTCTGGCGAATGAAAACGTCCGCGGCCGTTTTCCCCCAGCAGAGGCAAGTGGAAGGTGTGCCTTCAACACGCAGGAATCAGCCCCACCTGTGCGTGTGTGTCTGTGTGTGTGTGTGTGTTGGGGGGGGGGGGGGGGGCCGGCCGGGCTTTTTTTTTATTTTTATTTTTAGAGCTTGTCGACCTCAAAGATTCCCTCACCTGGGCTGTTTTTGTGCGACATGCGGGCTAAGGTTTTGGCTTTTTGTTTTGGGTTTGCTCCTTCTTCCCACAGCTCCTTTAAAACGGGCTACTTTCGGTTTAAATTACGGAAGCTTTGCACTGAACGCACGACCGATAGAAACATTAAACTGGTGGCCTACTGCCCCCTTTTCCATTCCACATTTGCCCGATCTTTATGGAAGTGACTAGGTCTTTTTGTCTTTTTTTTTGTCAGTTCGGTTTTGATTTATGCCGTTCAAGTTACCATTATTCCCACACCGCTGAGCGCGACTCAGAATTTACGGGATGTACATGAAAGCAGCATTTTCATTCCACAAATAAGGTGTTGTTGCCACATATCTGGTCACCGGCTTCTTTTTTTTTTTCTTAATCATCTCTGTGCGATATTCGTTAGCAGTCTCGACTCTTTCGTTAAATTGTAGGATTATGTTCCTCACTGGTGTTTACTAACCTGCTCTCATGTGACGTGTTCCAGTGCCGATCATGTGTTTGGTGACGACAACTGTGACAAGTCACGTGAGCCGCATCCAGAGAGGGAGAGAGAAAGAAAATTGACAAAATTTCAAAAACCGCTTCCAATCATGTTTTATTGCGAAACCAAAAGCTCCCGGGCCATATTTCTGGGGACAGAGATCAACCTTACATGGCCTGCTGCTTAACCTTTGTAGAATTTCTTTTCATTTTTAAATTCTTATACACACACACATCTATCTATCTATCTATCTATCTATCTATCTATCTATCTATCTATCTATCTATCTATCTATGTGTGTGTGTGTGTGTGATAAATGTGATCAAATTAAAATTTTATTGATTGCCAATCAATTAACACCATGGAAGTCATCCTTTCATCAGAAAGCACCACATCTATCTCAGCCCCCTAAAGCAACACATGTAGCATAATGGAGACAATTCAGTTTTACTGTTCGTAAGGATAAGGCCAATCAATGTGGAGATAGCTCCCTGAAGGTCCCAGTCTTTCAACATTCATTCCCGTTACATCCACAAAACATCCAAACATTCTGGACTTTAGAACTTCGCCATGTAAAACTTCCCACAGACGGTCGTGGAGGCGTACATGAGACAGGTGCTCCGGCTTTAAAAATAAAACTAAGGGAGCAAACTAAAATAAGACCGCGCGCTGCCGGGAACGTGGCCCCCAGAGGAAACTGAAGCTCACCACCAATAATACAAACGCCATCGGGAAATCCTCGCCACTGAGTGCCCACTTGTACACCATCCAAAAACATCTCCCAAAGACACTGAAACAAACAAAATCCACTGGATACATCTCTCCATTTGTTATCAATGTGCCTCAGGTTAATAATAAAAAGAGGAGCATCCACACAGGATATTACTTTGGAAACTCATTGGTGTTTGTTACAAATATTGAGATGGTGGAGAGTTATCTGGGCCAAGTTTTGGAACGGAGTATCTACAGTCCGTGCAAAGCAGGAAAAGAAAACTAACCCACACCGCGGGCTGTCTTCATCACATCCCAATCTGCTATCCCAGTCCTTTTAGCTGTAGTTGTGCTCCATTGCACAACACTAAGAAACTCCTTGTACCACTGGCTGAGTTCCTGCGTCCTGGGCCCCAGCGCTTGCTTAGTTACATTCTTGCTGAGACCAAGACCTTAGCTGCTAAAATAGCCCGAGGACAGTCAGAAGGCAGGGAAAAGAAATATATGCAGCATATTAATATATTATGCATATATTAAACGCAGTAAGACATTTTCCTGCAAGCTTTGTGTGGGCTTGACAAAGCTGTTCAACTTGCATGCATTTGCTCACTGAACTACAGACAGAAAAAAATGGAAAGCAACAACACAAACTGGCCTGCAGTCATCCACCAACAGGAGGAATTTGTTGCTTAATATTTTCAAAGAATTGAGCGCAAGAAGAAACCCAAACATGTAAAGATTTGGAAAAACTAAAACTGGCCCAAAATAAAACTGATGACTCTTGGTGAGTTTTTTTTTTTCTTTAAAAAGAAAAAAAAATGTAGATGGATTCATTATTTGTCAGGTTATGTTGAGTGAGATTATGCCAAACCATGAATTTAAGAAAGAAGCCTCAATAATATCCCCTCCCTTCTGCTCTTCCCCTCATATAGCTTCTTCAGCTGTACAGACTTGTCAAGACATCCATCAAGACATCAAGGTTGTTTTTTTTCTTCCTCATTTCTTCCCGAAGGGGTAATGCACCCTCATCCTATAGCCTCCAACATAAGCAGGAACCGACATGAGAAATGTCATAGATTTAATGTACCAGCGAGAACTATGTCATGTGATGTCAATCTCAATTAGGGGAAATGGACACCTGATTATCGTTCTACCTGAAAGCTGATATTCAAGCCTTTCTAGTAGCCTCCTAATTTGTCTCCAGTGATTACTATTGGCCCCTGTGCCAAACTGTGTAATGTCTTATCAAATCCAACGTGACCTTTACGATCCACTATTTATCAAAGCCTTCAGAAAACTTGTTCTCATTGTTACCCGGTGTCTTCAGGTGAGCGGACGCCTTAAAACCGGCCAAGAAGGTGTAAAACAATTTTACAATTGGCTTTTTTCGCAGTCTCAGCATTTCAAGCATTTCGTGGGCTCTACGAAAATAAAAACAACACAGACTGTTCGCACAACGGGAACCCGTTTGTCTCCACTTTGCATCAAAGATCCCTGAACTTGAGCTCCATGCGGCTTTGCGGAGTCTGTGGGTGAAACGTACGAGATATGAGGAGTGCAGCCGCCCACGGATGGAACAGGGTTACCATCTACTGACCATCTGCTGTAATGAGACCGGTGGAAACCAGGTATGATCAGCGAGAAAAAGTTCAGCAGCTTGCAGGATAACAAAGTTGCCGCCTGGTGAGCCACGGTTGGCTGTGCACTCTGATGACCCCCTGGTGGTGCAGTCGGTCATAAATTAAATGCAGAGAAATGGGAAAAATGAGATCACTTTTATTGCAAAGCCATGACCCAAAAGTGCATTATTAAATTAGGCTAAGCCACAGATACATTGGAAACTGAAAACAATGAGAAGGAGCCCCTTGAAGAAAGTGCAAACTTGATCCCATAATTTTTTTAATCCAGTCATTTGAATGACGAGACCACAAATTACAAAAATGACACATAAATGCAACAGTCTTATTCATGATTGCCTATATTGTGCGTAATACTCCCATCAATTTTCTGTATTAACTGCTCGTGGGAAAACATCTGGATGACGCAAGAACAACTCAACAACATTATTTTTTCCCAGTCAAATCCGAGGGAGTTTAAGACATTAATGGCCATTTAAGCCTATGAAAATGCAATGCTTTAATGGTCATTAGTCTTTAAGGAGGTAATGCCTTCTTGAATAAGGATAACTTTCCTGAGATAAGCCTTTTATTTATTTTTTTAAATCAGTGTTATTTCACAGTTAGCCCCCATTTAAAGTTATAATGCTAAAACCAAATTAAGTTAATGTTTAAAGCCCCATAGAGGTATTCAAAGTCATTTCATTTGGCCCTCAAAAAGAGAAGGCCAGCAAGTATATCCGCAAAAAGCTATGCGAGAAAAAAAAAGACTTTGGATGGCAGTTAAAACTACCACCAAGGTTCAGTTATTCGTCAGTCTTAATGTATACAAAGTTTGACTAAATCTGTGCATCAAGCAAACAAAAACCACAGCAATTCCATGAATGCATGAATATAGAACCTG